GAGATAAAATTAATTTGAATTATATTTGCTAAGTTGATATGTTACAATCTTGTACATCGATTTTCGATTTAATTTGTAATTATCAGATTTAAACATCACAATTTGACAATATGTAGGCATGAAATTGTTATATTATCAATTGAGCAATAAAAATTCCGAAAAAAATTATGCAAGCAATTACGTTGCAAAGTATTCCTGAATTGAAATAATTGAAACAATCCAAAGTTATATTTAATTTACACTCAAAATTGTGCATCTGTCAAAACCTTCAAAAAACATTTTTATCAATGCTAAGAAGTTTGAAAAACTGATACAATTAAAACTGACCCTATTAGAATAACATTAGAATTATTGCGATAATTGTTATTAATCACATTTCAACCAAATGATAGTTTAATTCATTTTATCTTCTTGATGATATGATCAAATTTTCAATCAAAAAATTACTTTATTTCAGAACACGTACTGATTCGTCCGAATTTTGATTATTTGCTATTTTTGCATAAATCACAAATTATGATAAATCATTTACTTTATCAATCTTCAGATTTTTCCATTTATTTTCTAATAATGATTTAACAGCCAAAAATTTTTCGCACTTTTCGTACTGTTTGTTCTGGTAGTGTTATGTTTACGAGATGCAAACCGGAAAGGCAATCCAGAAGTTCAAGTAATGTTGTCATTTCATTCCATATCATTCATCACTTTCACATCATCCATCTGTCCCAAACACTTTTTTGTTTCTTAATGGGAATAATTAATAATAAAATAGAAAATTGCAGATTTATTTTAATTTTTTACGTGCACACTTCGATTCAATAAAGAGAGACAAAAAAGAAAAACAATGAAATTTAAAGCAGTTATGAGAAGCGTAAAGAAAGCAAATTTCGAGAGTGATCGAAATAAACGCTTCATATGAAATCCGATTGTAAAACTGATCTTATTCATTTCAAAAACTTAACCACAAATTCTTCTCGGATATATGCAATTCACAAAAGACTTCATAATATTTTACAATTCTGTATTGATAAAAGGGAGAAAGAGACTTCTCATCTTATTTAATTGGTTAAATTTAATATTGTTGTAGCAGAATAAAATTGAGAGCTAAATAAGCTACAATGGAGTGATATGTTGGAGCGACCATCGAATCGATTACAAATGAATAGTTAGGCTCTTCACTTCCCATTTTATTTTATAATTTATAACCAGAAAAGATTCCTTCTCTTTATTTATCAGTTATCCCCTTTCACATGATCTCTTCTCTTACCAAAATTTTCAAATAATTCACAAACTTTGAGCAGAAACTATTCGTTTTTAAAAAAGAAAATGGCGGACTTGTTAATTGGGATAAACCTTTAGATATGACACACCTTTTTGCCGCACTCAATTTAGGTTATCAATTGCTTGTTTACCAAGCCAAAAATTCTTCTGTTATCATTGAAGATTTACACCAAACCTCAAAATGTTAATCAAAACGTACTGATTGACATCATCGATAAATTTCATTCTTCGCCACTCAAAAAATTTTCAAATTTTTCCAATATTTTCGCAACAGATTCAAGAAGTAGAAAATGAAGGAGCTGGCAGAAGAATTCATCCAAAATTATAAGTTCACGAGACATTTAAAATTTAAAAATTTTCTTTGGGTAGTACTAAATTAATTATAGTAAAGTAGTGTCCATTGCTTGTTGGCCATTACAACAAATATTATTTTGCATTTCATTTTTTGATATTCAGAAATGATTAATTCTTCTCATTCCGGCAAGTTTTCATCGAGGAAGGCAATCTTTTCCGTGCTTGGTTCCATTGATCGTCACAAGTGAACATTTTGTGGGGGGCAACACTTGTGCCACTGATGAATTCAAAATTTTCTAGCCAAAAATGAATTCTGAGCAATAGTTTAGAGTTGGAGATGTCGAGAATGGGAGAGCATATGATCTGAAAATTTGATCAACAAACAGATCGAGAATGGAACGAATCAAACGAAACTATATACAAATTCATGGTTATGTAGTAGAAATTACATAGAAGAAAGTGAACTTTGGATAACTATTATCAAAGCAATAGTAACGCCTTTTAAAATAGATAATAAATCCTGAAGAAATTTTCTTTCTCTTCCACTTAATTTACTAAATGGATTGGCAAGTAAATTTAAACGGGCTTTTTCATGCATATACTTTCAAAGACTCCAGGAATTAAATCATTTAGAAATTCCACTCTCTTTAGCACACATTTAATAATTTTACTAAATTAAAAAATGGTGAAAACAAAATATGAGTTACATGAACAATCAATCAATAAAAGAATAACAGCTTGCTTAAAGTGAAAGTCAACTCTTCCTAAATTTCAGAATTTTTCATAATTCTACACTGCATTGAGCTTTCCAGTTAGTAATCAAAAGTACCCGTATCTGAAACTCACTATATCCGGTCAAAAAACTCGAACGACTTTTTTATAATGAAATTGGAAAGTGTTTACTAACCTCTAACTCATTACTGTAGAATTCTGGGATTCTTTTTCGAATGGAATTTTTTTTGGTAATTTCACTAAAATAAAAAATTTAGGTTCTGCCTGAATGCGAAATCTAGGATTGCTCAATATTATGAAATAAACTACTATAAAAACCCTTGTAAAAAAATCAAACGTCAAAAAATAAAAAGACCTAAGTAAAAGCCAAAAATGAAGATGAGACAACAACTAAGAAATTTTTCGAAAATTCATCGCATATTCGAAAACAGAAGCCAATAAATATTTTGTAATGAAAAACGGGACAAAATTAAACTGAAAGAAAACATGCAATCAAAAATTCTTTAAAAGTTTTTTAGAATAACAAATTCATCGAGGGACTCGTCCTCCACTTGCGCCCTCTATCGTTCAGAACTTTAAGACGTGAAATAATTCTCCAAAACATATATATGTTAACTCAAAATACTCCATACTCACTGAAATTCAATTTCTTTCCTTCTTTCAGAAGTATACAGGGAAGATCAAAGATCGCATCATTCTACATTCAACACTTCAACATTCTACATTCAACACTTATTCTATAATCGAAAGAAAACCAAAAAACATCGCTTTTCATTTGTGAAACTTTTCAAATCGAATAAACTCAATCGACAGAACTTTAAAGAAACAGTTGAAAAACTAAACAAAAAGTATTTTAAGTAGTGAAATTTGCAAAAACGATAAAAGCATACCAATTAATATACAGAAATTAAAAACGCGTCGTGAATGATTTGTCAAATGTGCGTACGTTGTTTCTGCGCACGTATGGTACAGTGTTAGATACGCGAATTAAAATGTAGAGAGAATTTGGATTTGAGATTCAATTAATTTAACTAGCTGTTGTCCGAATTTACATGCATCACACCTAAAACAATAAGCAGTTGTTAGTTTGGATTAATGCAAAGAATATTTACTCTGAAAATACATCGGTATAATTAATTCGCACAACTAAATCCGGCCAAAAAACTAATATTACCACGACATATGAGAAGCAAACTGGTGCACAATCAAAAAAGAACTGGAATTTTACATCCCTGATAGTTTTCCAGGAGTATACTGCAAAACTGTGGCCGTCATAGCAATTAGAAATATCGAAAGTTCGTTTAGCAAAATTGTTTGATAGCTCATGGCACGACGGTCTTTTTTATGAACAACATCAACTAAACCTAATTTTACGATTGTGTCAAAATTTTGGGATTGCACTTGGAATTTATCAGATCAGAAAAGCATTTACCAAATTTTTTATAATTCATTCAGTGAAAAAGATTGGTGAGTATTGCTTAATAGATAACACAAATCAGCAAGATCGAAACATTGAGCAAATCTGTATTCGAAATAGGAAGGATCACATACACTTTCTTCATATCATTTAAATAAACTATGCCTGGCTTGCTACGCTTGAAAACTTATTGTTATTTTCCAACAATGTGAGGTTGCGAAAGAAGTTAGCGTCCCAATTTTTTAAAAATATTTGCAAAAATATCGAAACTGCACATTTGCAGGTCGTCATGGCTACATGTCATTCAAAATACTTCAAAATTTATATAATTATTATTATTTCATATCTGTCGGAAAAACCGAAATAACTTCATAATATTAAAATGTTTAAATAATCAATGTATCTTTATGCTCTTGCTGTTTTTATTATAAGAATCTTTTGCCTCAAATATTCTTAGAGTTAGTTTGTATTAGTCAAATGATTCGATATGTCTGGTTAAAGTTTTCATTCATTATTCTAAGAAACACTGTAAACAATTAATACAAACTAACTCTTTATACCATCTGATTTATCTGTTACAAGCTCAAGTAATTCTTTGTTAACCGTCAATTTTGTCTGTCTACAAACGAATGCCGCTAATGATTATATGCAATAACTTCGTGTTTACCATTAGTTTCCTTTGTTAAATGACCATAAGATTCTACTACGACCATCCTTAATACCAATTTACCTCGTGACGTTTTGGTTCAGTTAGTTCATCTACAAGATGACCAGTTGATTATTATAAATGGTACTCACTCAGCACCGCTCAAATTGAAGAGAATATATGAATTCTACTACGACAAATTAAATTACATAAAAATTATAGTTGTTTAGTCACTGCCACAAGTCAGTTTCATAATCTGAAGAGCTTGAGTTAGCTCGCATTAAGCGTTACTCCACACTAATTCCTCAGTATTTCTGATATTGTTGAATAACGTTAATCAACTATAATCTTTCTCTCAGTAAAATAAAGTTTGATCCCTCTCTCTCCATTTCACGACAATGCCATAAGATTTTTTCATTACACACAATAAAATGAGGGCATGTTTGTATCTTTCCAAGAGTTGCGCCATTTTCTGAAATATCTCATATTTATTCGAACATGTGGCAGCTGTTAAGGAATATTATCTATACATAGCCTATGCCTAGAACATACAAATTAAATTATACAAAAATTAAATTACAAAAAAAAAATTACACAAAGAAACACATTACCAGAAATGTAAAGGAAAAATCAGAAGGTTGTAGAAATCGTAAAATTCACTGGCGGTTCGCCTTTTCGGCCAACCAACAGATAGGTATCCATGCCACCATCCACTCCCTTTACTTCAATATGGTCACGATATTCAAATTCGTAACGATCACACAGTAAATCTCGAGTTTTCTGAGATACCTTTAAGTATTGAATTTATGAGTGATTTATTATTATAGGAATTATTCGAACCAGAAACACCATGATTTACTGAGTTAGATTTTCAGTTTGCACTTTCATTTTCTTGGAACTTCTAGTATATTATGAATTAGACGTATACGGCATCACACTGTAAAGATGTGAAAATAGTAAGAAATTTCCTCAAAACATTTGAATACACTACTCTCAGTACAAAATCATAGTTGAAAGAAGAAATACAGTAAATGACTTTTTGGCAACTAACTTTCAAAGTTATGCTTCCAAAATTGTACCTGCCCATCATAAAAAGTTACTGACGTAATTCTCGTACTTCTTGAACTATAGTTCGAGTAAAAAAGTGAAAAAATAAAAGAAATAAAAATATAACCTGTATCCGGTTCTGTACACCGGTACTATACATTCTAGAAGCAATATTGACTGTATCACCCCAAATATCGTAGTAGAGTTTTGTGGTACCAATAACACCGGCTGTTACTGGACCAATATTATAGCCAATTTTGCAAACGAAATCAAAATTTAACAAATCTTGGTTAAAATAGTTCAGTTGCTGCTGTAAACCGATTGCAAATTCCATCAGCTAAAAAAAATGAATTTCTCAATCGATGAAATTCACTTTTTAAGTACTACTAAAATCGAAAATTCTCAAGAATTCTCCCTGAAAATGATTATTCATCTTTTCTCACTGTTCCGGTCAGTTAGAACAATGAAGATTAAAATATAAAATTCGACCTTAGCAAGTATTGGAAGAATGTCCCATACGTCTTATCTGCCGTTTAAAAAGTGGATTTGTATCTGTCGAGAGCTCAAAACAACAATAAACTTGGTATTTTTGCAAAATTTCTGACCTGATAAAGGTGTTCATAAGGATGCTGGGCTGAACGCCTTCTCTCTGGATTTAATCCAGCTGCAGCCATATATGTAGGTCCGATAGTTTTTATTTTTTCCACCTGTGAGAAGTCTGGCCTATCCAGCAATTCATCGAAATCCCCAATAATCTCATTTAGCACCCGTAAAAATTCGCGTCCTCCTAGAATATTTAACAAATTTTTAGTGAACATTGAAAATTTTAATATTCCTGCTTTAGATGCATAAGCTTTTAACGAGAAACTGTTATGGCTCTAATGGTTCGCATACAAGAACCTCTTGATACGCGCAATATAGTCATATGAGGACTTTTGTGAAAAACGATTATATGATTCCCACACATCCTTCAAAAAGTGCACATGTTAAATTAAAACATTTTCATTACGAGAAAATCTTTGCTGAAAAAGTTAAATTTTTCCGAAATTTAAGCTAAGCAACAAACCCTCAAAAGTTTCTTCATACATTTCGCTCCAGTTGGTGATCGTAGCGAAAAGAACCGCAGTGAGGGCATGGTTTTCCGAGTATCTGATACTTGATTTCAATGAATCGATAGCATGTTGTGGAATGATATTGGTTAGAAGCCAATCAGCTTGGTCACGTACCGCTTGCATTTGCTCAGTGTCGCGTTGTGCTTGTATGTCGCCGAAAAAGGACATTCGAAATGCAGCTTCAAACTAAATTAGTTAAAAAATTAAAGCGCTATTAGATATTTCAAGTTGAAGGTCTTGAAATGTCAATATTCAATAATCAATTTTTCGCCCGAGAATTAGGTGCTAGTAAACTGAAATTTTCGAAATTCACTGAAAGACAATCAAATGATAAATACATATGTTAAAAGATATTAACATATGTATTTATCATTTGATTGCTCAATTGGCAGGAAAATCATACTAGTTTAGTAATCGATATTCAAGATCTTTCCATAATGATCCAGATATAAAGCCTATGGCGCAATTCTGTGATTACGCAAATACATATTATTGACCCTATTTTTCTTCTTCCCTGCCAGTTAAGACAGAATGAGAAATCTTGCCTGATAATTGAGAAAAGCAACCAAAACGACAACTAAGAAGACATCGACGCAAATTTCAGGTAAATTAATCGGGGAACCGAATCGTCCAGATGCCCATACTGGTACGGTACCATTACAGGAACGTGATCCAATATTTGGATTGCTGGATGCTACAACACTCCGACTTAGATTTTTTTTCTGAAGCTCAATTTAATTACTGGGAATAAGTAAGTGAAGATTATAAATTCTAATATAAATGCATTTTGTCACACCTTGTCTAACAGTGACTACATTTGGATTTCGAAAATAATGTTCCAGTAATGACTGATATCGAGGAGATGTAAACCACTTGAGCTAGTTCACCTTCACGCTCAATTCTAAAGCATTCTCTCTATGGCGTCCAACCTCTTACGAAGGATGAAAATCTATAACAACATCAATTCTTTATCACTTATGTAAAAAAAACTTACATTTGTCGACCAATGAATCGATGCGATATTGGCAAATATAAGTGAGCCATAAAAATACGACACCGACCAATAACGCTTCAGCCGTTTTTGGCCAAGCTGAGAGTTGTGAAAAATTGCAATGTGCAAATAATGCAACCAGAAATATATAGGCTAAAACAAATGATGTTATACTTGCATGCACCCAATATCTGGACATCCGAGATGAAGAATCCGAAATTGAAGAAAAAGATAGTTGAAATTATCATGAAGATCAGTGACAAATCTATGAAACATCAATTCTTACAAATGTCGTGTCAGATTACATGTCATGAATAGATAACACGGGTTTACAAATCCTTAAGCATCGGATTTAAAGTATGATGTTTCAAGGCACTGAACCTTGTTCAGTCGAACTTTAAATCCACGATGGCAAAACGAAAATCCAAAATAAATAATCCAAAAATTGAAAAAGTAAACATACAAAACAAAATCTGCTGAGCAAGCAAATTTGGTGAAACGCACACATATTCTTGGGCAACAATATCACCACATAAAGGTGCTACTGTTAATGCAACACCTGCTGGTAGTAATATGAGTACCATTCCTAAATGAAGCATATGAAAATATTTTCATTAAAAAATGGTACCATCAAATTAGAATTGTAGTGCAAATTGATAAAAGCTGCGATTTGTAAAGCAAATAGGGTTTCTCGAGTTGCATTAGTTACAGGTGGCAAATTTCTGCTGACCAATAACGATAAGTTTAAATCATTTCATAAAATGAATAAAATATATTTAAATATAAATTATGCACAAACTCCTTTTTATATCAAAAAAGAGAGTTGCAGGAATTGCATTAATATTGCATGCCTGAAGGTAACTTATGTTCCAGCAGTTAATATTTCTCATAAACCATCTAACAAACAAAACATTAATAGTTCTTGTAGCTTCGCCATTTTTTCCTGGCTTATGACATAGAGAAGAAGCATTATGATCTAAACCAAAAGCTAACCAATAACATGACGTGGTGTCCAAAGATTAATAAACGGAAAAATTGTCTGATGCCTCCTTAGTAATGGTATACCAACGATAATGATAATCAATACAGTAGCAATGAGTGAGATCGCAAAATAAATGATGAAGATGGTATTTAATATTCCCGAAATAAGAACTGCAGTTGCACAGATGACGAGCAACATCCCAGCTACTAGTACATCGATAAATGCACCCGAATAATTATACTGTAAGTCCGAGTTATCAGTTTGTAAAGTCTGCAAAATTTTTGTTTCGATAAGTTGAAATAAACGTACAAATAAATTTATCTCAAGGCTTGAAAAACATTATTTACGTAGCAAAACAAACCTCGAAAGAAATATTCACTGTAGTCGGTTTCTTGAATACTTCTTAGCTATATTCTATCTTCTAATCATTATCTATTGCATTATATTATGATCCATGTTTACGACTAAAATTATGTCGAAAAAAAAGAGACGAACATTTCTGTGTCTTTCATCACGGCTGGGCCATTGGCGATCGATAGATTCTGAAAAATGTGACCTATACCGTTTTTCGATACTAACTTCGTTAAATCGTAAAGTCCATCTGTTTAACCAGTCATTGCGCATCCAAAAACCACGATTAAAATTAATATCTGCATTCTGAAAAATACAGCAAGAATGAAATTGCATTTTTAAGATTGAATCGGTAAATATGATAGGATGAAACTAAACTTCTTAAAATCCAAACTAGTTCCAATTAAGTTTTATGGAATCTTTATCTTTATGTGTTTTACATTTATCAAAACACTTTCTAAGAACTTTTTTTAATTTTTTAAAGCCCAGAAGGAATAGTATATGAACAATCCTAGTCTATTGGATTTGATGACCACAGGTATGCCAAAACGCTATACCTGTATTACTATAGCAAGACGTTCATCGAAAGCACGATCGTCTGTATCGAATCGTGTTAGAGATGGGGCATTCTGATGATATGAAATTGCAGTTTCAATTGGACCCGCACACGAAAATGTATCCGAAACTGAATCCTGAAAAACATGGAAAACGAATTTAAGAGAATAAAATACATACAAAAAAATTAATGTTAAAATTGAAAGATGAATATGGCATCTGGAATTTCAAATTAAAAGTCAAACACCTAAACTTATTCTGAATTTTGAAAAAGAAGACTTTAAGCTCCATCTTCTGTTTTTTGAATTCTTGCACCAGCAAATGTTAGAGAAAAGATCTAATCAAAAACTCATTCTTTAATTTCCTAATAATTTTTTAAATTAATATATTAGCAAGCATTCTGACATTAAAAATAAATAAACCTGCATTCCTGAACTTTTCGAACCATGTCTGCTACCTCCGTTTAATAGTTCATGTGAAGTTTTACCACTTAATGGATCTATTATACTGAATAGCTTCGTGTCATCCGGATGTAAAGCATGTAATGAAGCAGATTTGCGTCTTTTTTCAATAACTGGTGATTTGCTGTTCGCATTCTGAGAGAATTAAAGCTCCTTCAGATGAACAATTAAAAACATCCAGTAACAATGTTCAGCTAGCAATATTCCGCGCCATTAAACTGAACCGGTCCATCAGAATATTTCAAAACTACAGAACTCATATGCGTGCACTACTGTTCTTGATTTAGTACTTATTTGTTTAACTTGTCTTCAAATTTCCCAATTTTGCAAAGAATAATAAACCTTATCCAAACATTCGCTGCAATGGAGAATTTGTGTGGAATTACTTTCGCATTTCCTTTCCAACATTTTCATCTTCAAATTCCCACAATACCGTTCAACAGGTATTGACGTTGTTTGCATCATTTTAATCTTATTAGTTAATCTCTGCAAATTAATATAACAATAAAAGACCGTTCGTTTTTTCTCCAATAATAATGTTGGGTAACTCTTTTCGGTTCTAACTTATTCTCATATATTACTCTATGTAATAAATATATCAACTATATATTTCAAAAGATGAAAATTGACAATATGTAACAAAGATAAAGAAAAAAGCAATAGGACAATAAATAATCGATAATAAACTGCAAAAAAAACCTTTCGGAAGCTCATATGTGAATGATTTATTTGAGATCCTGCTGAAAGGGTGTCACGTATTGAATCGGAATAGGAAGTTGTTTTGTTGATTGGACCATATGTATCCCGGACACGACCAGCAATAAAATAAGTTTTCATACCTGGAAAATGGCATAGAAAAAAGTCCAATCATAAAAACGGTGGTTCCGGGGCACAGCGTTCCAAATTTAATTTCCATCTTATTTCATCTTGAAATTTTCACATTTTTAAATGTTCCTTTAATTCACTAATTTTTGTCTCCCTCTTTCCCTCTTCAATTTCCATTGTCTTTAACCTGCATGCCATAATTGAACAAGAAAGATCGTTTTGGAACTTGACACCTTGCCAACCTCGGCAGCTAGTGGTAGCCGAAAACATGGATTGGCAGAAACAGATGAAATGACTTTTCCTATCAAAATGATTGTATTTGATTGAAGATTTGTGTATATGATTGAAGATTTGCCATTAACGAAATACATATTCTATTTCCTTCTTCGAAATCCAACATAGAAACGCCGCATTCATTTTTACATCTCGTGTGCTCTTCCCTTTTCCACCCTCTCTAATTAATTTATCCTGGAGTTCTCTTTGCTGACAGATTAAAATTTTTCTAACACTCCCTCCTCTCATTTCTCTCAACAATCCAAGACAACAGCTACTACTGTTCGACCAGTTGAAAATTCCCCATCCTCAAAAAATACAATATTTGTAATATTATTTTCCCAAGTGTCGGTTTCAGTGCTTTCCCTTTTATCAATATTCCAATAGCCAAAGCTATAATCATTTGCTTTATCGATTAAATTTGTTTTCATTTTCAAGAGAATAGATTACAGAGATGTATGCAAAACAAACTTCAGTTCCCACTCATTTTGTCGCTCAGGTCGAGGTTAACAAATAGCAAGTAATGTAGAAGTTGAGAATTTAAATCTTGATTTAATGTTATCATTAATTCCTACTTCCCAGTCATAAATCTTTTTTTCGAATTAGATGAAGCTAGAATTCATTCTTATGGATTCATAACTATCTTTTGCTACTTCGCAATGAAGTAAAAAAAGGAATAAAGCAGTTAAATTCCATAATTTATGATTCAGAAATCTTTTTTTTTAATTCTTCGAAAAAAGTGGAAGTAGAAAATTCCGGGGTTTCTTGCAAGCTTTACAGTTAACGTGCATTATTTTAACAAAAACTCTACTAAGAAAGTAATTAAAATGACGATTTAAAAATATATAAGAAAGCATGAAATAATCTATATATAATAAAAAATAAAATATACCGGCATGATCAGGTCCATCTTCCAGAATATATTCATTATTTAAAAATTTTGCGGTAACTTCCGAAATATGTACGCATCCAGCTATTCCTGTTGATTCCATTTCATTTGCAAGCGTTACATCGTTCGAGAAAACATCAAATTTAAACCGTTTCATCCCTACCATACCACATAAAACCTTAAAGTAAGTTGATATAAAAAGTAAAAGGTAATAGAAAATTATGAAATGTTAAAACTTCAAAAATATTCGTGGACATGCAACATTTGATTTAAACACCATTTCAAAATTATGAATTAGTGAAATGATTGATCAAAACTTTCAAGATTTTCACATTGATTCGAAAGGATTGTTTAATTTTCCCAGCAAGAAATCAAAATAAATGAGACTTATAATCACAAGAAAATCCACCGTGAAAGATAACAAAAATAGTAATACTGGATTTGGAAGAAAATGATGCTAAGAAATGCACAAAATGCTAATTAGTAAAGAAAACAAATGTGAGGTGAAGACAACAAATGCATGAAAAATGATTTGCTTTTTAAAAGAATTCAAAAAAGATAAAACATACTTACCTTTCCTGTATGTATACCAACACGCATATTAACATCTTGGCCGCGATCTTCGTCAAATTGTTGGATAGCAATGATCATTGCAAGCCCCATTTCAACACAACAACGAGCATGGTCTGCGCGAGGTTCAGGGCAGCCTGCTACACAGTAATAACAATCACCTAAAGTTATCAAAATTTAGTTTAATGCAAGCATCCACCTTTGATCCCATAACTTGCAACCACTGATCAGTAATCATGCAAATCAATGAAATGAGTGGTATTTTAAATATCTGAACATATAGTCCAGCTAATTGAACAGTAATTTAAATTTTCAAACACAAACAACCTAATGTGCTGATTTTTTCGAGATTACATCGGCCGCATAAATAGTCAAAGCGTCCAAATAAATCATTGAGCAAATTTACCAGTTCACTGGCTGACTTATTTGAAGACATTTTCGTGAAGCCTGAACAGCAGACATGAATATACTTTGAAAATTTAAAGAAATAATAAGAATCACACATTTGCTAACAATAATATGATTTCAAAGCTAGATAAAATTCTTTTCATATTAGTTTCTTTCTTTCCATGCAATTCTTTCCGTACACAGGTCAAAATACGAAACCGCTTACCAGCAATATCGGCAAAAATAATAGAAACATTGGTCATCAAATTCATCGTAAATGGTCGAAATTTGCGAACATTTGGTGCCAACAAGGTTCCTGTTGATGCATTCGCTTCGCGGATATCTTGAAGATGACTTTCCGTGTTCTTATCGTTTATCGTGCGTAAACATGCATCCTGATTAGCCGATGATCTCCTCACACTGGTTTCCTTTAGCAGTTCATCAGCAACCTGCAAGGCATATCAATTTTACTTGCCAACAAATATAGGAAATATCGAAAAAGTCAAAAAAGAAGGAAATGATAAAATTATATATCAAAATATTGAAATGTTGAAATATAAAACGAAAATGCAATGCCAATATAAAGAAAAACATGATATATTGATATACCTTGCAGGTTGCAAATCAAGCAGTTAAATCAAGTAAATCAAGCAATTAGCATAACAAAAGCACCATCATCATATTTTCTGCTATTGAATTTCTATCACATAGAAAAAACCAACAAAAAATGCAAAATTTTGATCAGAAATTTAACCTTTTTCGGCATAACAGATTGTATCATATGATCTTTCAACTGCGTTTCCATTTCTAGATCTTTACGTGCAAGTAACGATTGGCCTACTCTTAGAAATGTTTTTCGCTGACGAACTGGAAATACAAAATCTCTAACTTTAAAATTGAGGAAAAATTTTTTAGCTTTTAGATTGTAGTTGAGTTCTCATTGTGGTACTTTACATTAATTTATAAAATCTGATCCATCTATAAACAACTGTTCAAAAAAGCAAATTACAAATATTTCAGTAAGTATACCGACTAAAATGCATACCCTGTGTCAGGATGAATAAATGAATACCAAGCAGATTGATACCAATGTGAAGGATAAGTTTAACACCCAGCGTATCCGCATAACTCATACTATCGGTTGCGATCATTTCGAACAATATCGAATAGAGTAAGCCAATTAAAATGCACAAATACAGTGGTAATGGAACTACTGTATAGATTAATAGCACTACCTGAATTAAAAAAGCAATGAGTTAATAAGAATGACAAAAGAAACTAAAATTAGTTATTCAGCTCCATGAGGTGAGAATTTTGAACTTTTCGTACCACAAAATCATTGGACTTTAAAGACCAGAAAATTCATAATATTTGAAATAGATTTAAATACAAAATAAAACTTACCTGAAAACTGGTGGCTAAATCACCAATAGGACTCATAAACGAACCAGATTTATCAGAGAAGATAAGTAGAGTTACGGTACAGAGTACAAAAACACAGAGAAATGATGCAGGCATGTAAAAACGTTGATAATGTACGGAAAATAATGTGAAGAGAAGCACTCCAAATGATATCATAAATGAAGTGATCGATATTAGCTGAAATTAAAATCACGAGTGGCGATGTATAAAGTTAATATTACTAAAATGAAGTAAAGTAGCTTGTAAAAGTGGAGTGCATTTGCAGAATAGTTATAGCAATTTATAATAATGGATTTACTTTAACTTCATAACGCATATGTATTGATTTGGGATTCGACTTAGCACTAAGATTAGTCCGATATTTCAATGCAGCAAGTCCTTTATCGGTAGCACAACTGCATGCCAGATCCGGCTATACACGCCTGCAAGACAAAGGCACTAGGTCTGGGTCCACCAATAACTAGCTAGTTTTATCATCAATGCCAGAAGGCTGGGGAATACCGAAGTGCTATTATCTGCCTTATCTGGGCACCTAAAGAAGGTGGAACATTTGGAGAAATAACTCACCCAGTGTATTAAGTTAGCATAATTGAAAATTTGCAAATATACAATCCATAAAATGCATGATAAACAAATGTATACAAGTCCAGATCTAAAATATTTTGATCTTTTCGCTGTGAATCTAACGTAGAAATAACAGCAACAACAAAATTGAAGAGAAATTTTAACACCGTTAAAAACATATTTCATCAGTAGATTATAAAAGAGAAAATTCAAGTTTTAAGATCTAAAGGAGAAAATATTTCAAAAAAAATAAAATAATCACCTGAACCTATCTCTGAGTTGTGGAAAACTGCATTTCCAATATTGAGTTTCTAAAGCTGTTGATGAAAATTGTGGATTCCACCACGTGGTGGAAATTCGATCAAAGAATGATGCATACGGTGAATTGGCGGAATGGCAATGTGCCTATAATAAGCTCATATAATTAAACGATAAGAATGAGAGAACCATTTATTCGTTGATTTTTAAATACATTCACATCCATAATTTATAAAAGAAACATAATATCCTCTCTCTCTTTTTTTTTCCCAACTAATAGCCTGCAGTAACAAAAATGTAAAAAGTGACAATGATTTTATAGTGTAAATGTGGGAATCTCGATGTTCAGTTACTAAAATTCTTTACTTTTCCATTTTCCCATCTCTCAAATATATACATTCATTCTGAAAATATAGAATAATTCCGCAGTCTAAAAGACGAAAACTTAATAATTAATTGGTTAATTGAGCAAATCTAACATTTTTCAATACTTTCAAACTAAACAATAACCATATCCGTAGTAGGATGATATCCGCTACTTGAACCATTTGCGACTGGTGTTTGCGAACCGCTACTACCGGCAATAGCTCGAGCACCAATAGCATGTTCCTGTTCTTCTTCAGTTGCTGCCAACATACAAACTGCTTCACCCATCACCTTTTCGTCTTCTTCATCGTTTCGCATCTTCTCGCCTTTTTTCTCGATACTCCGTTAAATGACTTTCATTCCCTCCAGAGGATTAATTCTTTCTCTTCTTTTTTTAAAAATCCTTCCGCAGTAATTCTTATTTGGCCAATTCTCAATTCATTGATCTATTATACAAATGGTCAAGCTGTATCCATCCATTTATTCTTTCCTTTATTCCTGGTTTTTCTTCAAAAATGAACAGTAAAATATTTTATAATTAATTGAACTGTCACTGGATGTTGTTTTCATCCATTACTAATGAATTGTTCTTCATTATACAAGCAATAAATAATGATAATGTGATGTTAAGACAGTAGTATTAGTGAACAACCTGAAATAAAAAAAGAGACTACAATTTAGTGAAAAGCAGAAAATGGAATTTCAACGACGCGTAAATTTATATTTGAACAATTGTAAATAACTTCAAAAGATATTTTAAAAAAAATTATTTTCTTTGATTTTCTGATAGCTACAATTATCAGATTAATTATCACAAAAGTATGCGCAATTTTGAAATTTGCATTTCTTACATGAATAAAATTGCATTGTACAGCATTTTAGAAGCATTATATTTTTCTTTTTTTATGCTAGAAACTTTATATATTATTTGTTTGCTATTCGTTTTGGAGAATGCAAATAATACTAAACAAAGAAACTGGAACAAAATTTCTTAAGCCTGCGCTCAACTTCAGCGATCATAAACAAGGGTCGATAATTGCCCAAGCATTGCTAACGAAAATAAAGATGTTGGAGGAAAGAATTTTGCAATAAAAACAGTAGAAAGTGTGGAAGATGGGAATCATAGTGGCTAATTATCGGATATCGGAAATTGACAAAAACTAATTTGGAGTAGTTATTGAAACTGACATCTCTACAACTATACAAAGAAATTTTACCTAATAGATAGAATATCAGCTAATCTATATCGATTAATATTTGAAATATACTGAAGAAATGTAAAGTGTATGTATGTATCATATGAAAAAAACAAAAATTAGGAGAAAAAAATCACTATTTCCATTAAAACAATAAATCATTTTTTAGTGGCACTTTCTCCTAATTCATGCAGAAAAATTTGCATTCAAAAAGAATACGAAAGAAAATGTCTTCATCAAATAACAATTACCATGATACTATACTATTCCTATTTATTGATCGATCACATTCTGTTTTTCAGATATATTTCAATTGTTTAACAATTACTCAATTCGTAAACTAAAAAATCAAATTGTTTTAAACAATTTTTTTATTAAACTGAATTTTACTAAATTCTCGCCAAAAATTTACTATCTCGACCTATTTAAATTTTTGTAAAAATTTAACGATCGCTTTCTTCTCTTCCTATCTCTTCTCTTCTCTTATCCTTTTTTCCCTCTTGTCAATATTCCGGTGCTGTGTAATTTTTTCTTTTTCTTTTGATATATATGAAACTACTATTTGTTTCATCAAATGTTTCCTGCAGAGAGCCTCATGTTTACTATTTATCATAACCTGATATGGCAACTATCACATCACTCTACGAAAAACCTTCTTTTTTCCGTAATTCATCAGAGATCCGATACCATTACCAATGTTTCTTAATGTGATGCAGCCAGCGTTTCTATAGCAGAATTCTGGATTCATCCTAATCTAAGAGGATTTATCCCATTCTTTCTATTTTCATAACAAATTTGTCTCAAACAAACAGAACTAAATGGAAAATGTATCGCAAGATCATTATCAATCAGATCATTACTAATACATGAAAATACTACCATTAATCATTCTTCAAAAAATAATATATGGGAAATAAAAAAAACACAGCTGAGTATTAATCATCTTGAATGATTTTAAACTAATCTTACAACATGTTGAATGAACAAGATTTATAAATGAATAAATATTAAGTTACTAATTGGTATAAGTGAAAGACTGATATAGGCTAAAGAAGCAACAAATAGAGAATAAAAGTTGAATGAGCAAAAAAAAGTTCTCATCCTCTTCTTATTATTATAAATGACCAATTATTACAATCATAACTATATTATCTACTAGTTTTTATTTATTGTAAAATAAGTAGCATATAACATACTGCAAAGGAAATGTATATCAAGATTTGATAAGTATTTCAAGATAGTATTATACAGATATTAAGCAAGAATATGTGGGAAATAAATTCTACAAATTATGATAACATCAAATAAAGATGCTGATCAATCCTACAAAGAATAAGAAGATGAAGAAATGGTGAAAAATTTCCTAGACAAATTTCTGGTTATAAAAAAAATTTTTATTTTAATGCAACAGCAAAATTGAAATTGTGATATTAGAAGACATAATGTTGCCAAATTAAAAAGATTAAATTGGTTTGACATTCAAAATAATGATATTCTCATCCTTTCTGATCCATACTACTAAATCGTTGTGGAGGGAAATTCATATTTAATGAAAACAGTAAAGGTAAAATGATGTGAAAAGGTAATAACACAAAGGTATGCAGAATGAATAAAAGGATGGAGAATTTTATCATTCAACTTAAAGATAAAATGTTTTCCCTGAGGGACGACAAATCTACTTCATCGTTAAAGATGGAAAGAAAAATAAAGGGAAGAAATAAAGTGAAATGGAAACCGCTCTTTCGGAGAAAACAGCGCATAAATGGATGGAAAATGATAGAGGAAAATTTAATGGGTTATATAGCAGATAGCTAATGCTTTGCAACTCATCATTTGGTTCTCAAGTGGAAAATTTTGCAGGAAAGCAAAAGAATGAAAGAATCAGACTGAGAAAATTTAAATGTACTTAAAATGAGGAAGCAATAGGAGAAAAGGAACATAAAAGAACTATTTACTCTTAGGACGACAACATATAAGGTTTACGATGTAATGAATGAGATTGATATGAAGCAATAATAAAACTCACCTGAAATAAGATAGAATTTACGAAATTTCTCGAACCTTTTTTATATATTTCTGATAATTATGCATTCACTTGCCATAATTAGTTTCATCACTAATTAACTCATACAATAATACATTTGATTGTTTTAATAATCTCCCACTTCTTCCAATATTTTCCATAAATAAAGTTATTATAATTTAAATAATATAACATTACACTATTCGATTATCTTTCCTGAGAGGGAAAAAAAGCAATAAATTGATAGTGGAAAAAGAAATTTAAGAATAAAATATCTACATATTATAGATGAGATAAGAAAATGAACATGATTTTTGTTGTACTTTTTTCAAATATCATAATACTTTCACTAGCTGATGATGATTGATGTTCCCATCTTTCTGAAAATAACAAAGTATCTAATTAGTTATTTTTACTTTTCCGAATCGATAATAAAATCCTTTCTAGATAAAATTCCTATTCTGCCTCTTATTTGTTGTTCAAGCCAACTATAAAAATGCAAATTATGTGCAATAATTACTATCATTTATATAATATAACAGTGAAGGGAAGTAAAATGTAAACAAACAGCTAGCTAATAATGAGAATGAATTATGATAAATTACTAAATGAATGATAATCAATTAGAAATGAAATCATAATGAATGTGGGAAAAAAATGTCCCGATACATATATATACATAGGTAAGTAAGTAAGTATAAAATCGTAAGTTCGATACTTTAAAAAAAAAAAGATCAATCGGCTAAAAGAAGTATGTGTGCGAATGTTGTTGGCCTATGTGCCTTATGTATGTACGACGGCAGGCCAATTCACTTTCAAAAAATAACTCACATCTCAACAAAGTGGAAGTTAGTAGGATATAAAGAGAGAACGGAAGAGAAATGGAAGCGGTAGTAGTGGTTCATGAGAATGAAAAATTTGTAACTCAATGCTAACATCAAGCGATCATTATTTATGTGTTGTTTTTCTCAGAACCTCTTTCTCTTCCCCGCTTTACCTTTCTTTCTTCTCCATCACACTAACACTAAAATATCATGCCTGCCACCTATTTCACATCAATAAGTCATTTTTGTCGACATTTTTCATTTCGATAATTGAAAAAAAATTTTTTTTTACTCATAATAATAATAATAATAATAATGGCATTCTATCAATTATTATTATTATCATTGTTGTTATGATTAAATGACATTTATGACTGCAAAAAGGCAATCCTCAAATTATGATCAATCGTTAAATTTCAACAGTAATTACAATAATCTGCTTTTATGCATCATTAATATCATAATTATACATATTCATTGTACCCAAAAACATTTGCGACTATTTTAAAATGTATTTTCATAATAAATCATTCAGAAATGAGCAACGAGCTTTTTGTTCATTCAAATTTAGTCCCTTAAAAAATTCTTTTACATTTCGAATCAGTCAAAATGAGAGTTTTAGAAAAATTAAATTTACTTTTATATATATATATATATATATATAGTAAAAAAGAGAGAGGAAAAACTTTCTAACAATGCAACGAAATGTTAGATGAGAAGGAATAAAAACTTTTAGTTCGACTAACCAATTATAACACTCAATGTTTTCCTTTTCTCGCACATTCACATTCACAAAATTTACCATTTCTAGTTTATTTTTAACTTATCAATTTACCACATCAATCGCTGCCTGATCATACTCGTACTCTTCTTACCAACCATCCTCAGCTCCCCCATTTCAGATTGTTATTGATGAACACAAAAATTCGTACCAAAGAATATACATATCAGCTGTTCTAATAGGAAATAAATATATCCTCAAATTATGTTTTCATCACACACACACCACACACACACACACACACACACACACACACACACACATATATATATATATATATACAGAAACACACACACGCACGCACACGCACACATACATACATACACACACACACACATTAATTTTAAAGAAAAGTACAAATCGCCCAATGTTAGAAGAATAATAAATATATTGTACATTGTGGTTAATGTTATGAAGAAATATTACTTATATCACGAAAAAAAGAAAGAACAACTTTCTAGCAATAAGAAAGTGATAATTTTTAGACAAATGGTTCAATTAATGAAAATTTCATTTCTCGATGTTATCCTCTCTTCCACTTGCAGAAGTTTTTTTTCATTTTATTTCCAGCCCTTCTTAAACTTCGACAGAATTGTAAATAAAGAGATAAAGGATGTACAGATAGATCAATTTAGCAAACTATGAAGATTACTTCCTGGTCATTTATCGAGGTTAATTAAAGAAATCCATGATCATCCGCTGTAGTCTCTATATGAAAATGCAACTAAGCGTTGGATGTAATCCTGCTTGGATTGTCGATACTAGCATTGTCTGAATATTGCACTTACCAACCTTCCATTTTCTTTTCTTTCTTTCTTTCTTTTTTCCTAGCTTTTCTGTGCGATATTTTCAATCCATTTTTTGCCATTCTATTCAAAATTTAATTTTCAGTCAGGGCCAAAAAAAGCAATGAAAGGAAATATCAAATTACATATCAAATCGAATTCATGGCTTGAAAAATGATTCGTAATGATCACTCAAAAACTATCCGTTCCCATTTTGCATGACACCATCTGTGAATAACAGCATGAACTGCTTCACATAATATTATGAAAAATTTTATCCCTCTATTACTTAAAATTCAACTTCAGAAATAGAACTAAGGATAACTAATCGAAGCTAAAATTCATAGATGTGGATGATATATTTTCAATTAAATCGGTATTAAAATTAAGAATAATAACTGTTGAGTATTAAAATGAAAGACGATAATCGATTAACCTGTAATTTATTAACCTATTAACCTGTCGAAATAATTGAATTCACAAATTCATCAAAATAAAAAGCAAAAACTTAACTTATATCAAACAATTCAACAACAAACCTTTTATAAGTTTAAAAATCTATCAAATTATAGATTAAAATGAGCCTTTTTGTAAACATAATTGGATTAAATGGGAAAGAAGTTCACTACTGTTATTTAAATAATCTACTGAAAAGTTAACTATCGTTCAACATCTAAAATTATAAACTAGTCAATTCTGCTATTGCTGAAAGAATATTATTTCATAACACCATTTGATATCAGAATTGAAGAAACAACATTTCTTAGAAAAGCAATATCAATACATTCTATATGACGCTGGCAGTATCTTACGTCTTAAAAAAGTTTCTTTCATGAAACGATGACGTTACTACTTTTCGTCATATACAAATAAATGAATACATTGGAAATAAATGAATAAGCAATGAAACAAAACAATTTACCATAATCTTTACAGTTTGTAATAATGAAAATGAGACATATTATTATTCTAATCAATTTTAAACAAGCATTCGACAATTAATTAATTAATTAATATTATAGTTGTAATTTGCCTAATATAACATAAATAGTAATAATTCGTGAAATGAACGAATATTTAGTGAATGTAATATAATTTTAAATGTATAACGTAACTGTTCCCCTCAATTCATCTGCTGCTATTAATCTGCGTATTGATGATTCTCGCATACTTTCACATAAGAGGGATAACAACAACCAACCATCCATTCATTACGAATAAATAAATCATCCAAATGAAAAATTTCACAAAAATTAAACTACCATATTTCGAGAATTTCATTAATTAACAATTAATGATAAGTATATCTGACATCTTTTAATGGCATCTTTCCAGACATATGTAATAAGAAGAATAATCAAAAAAAGAGTGAAGAACATAAGGACGCTGCATAGTCTGCTTATCTCAATCGGAAAAAGAAAGAGCATAGGCGTATTCTGTTTTCTTTCTCTTTCTCTCTTTCTTAACATTAACATGTAAGAGATGACAGACAACACGAAATGATGAGTAAAATTTCCTTTTTTAAATTAAATTTTCCAAATGGCAATTTAAAATGAGGTGTACTATGCTATACTATGCTTATATTACGTTGCTTTTTAAATAACTTTCATATATTAAACATACTACGATTTCATTCAATAAGAGAATAATCATTGGAAGAAGTAAAAATAAAACATAAAATGAGAAGATGGAAATGAATGGAAATGTTTTCAATTCAAAAAGATGAAATGAACAAAAGATTTAAAACAATGAAATGAGTAAAATGAATATTGCGATCGAATCCGATAGAATGACTCAATTAGACGACAACAATATACTGCAAGTTATTTAATCTATTATTGCACTTCAGCAACATATGATGATATATATACCCTTCTGAATCAACAGGAAGTGTTCCATCTCAAATCATTTCACTTGTTTCGCTTTCGAATAAAGCTCAGTCCTCTTTCTTTCTCCCGCTTAACCGGATAAACTATTCCGCCTCATCATGTCCATCTTATGAAACTCAACATCCCTTTTAGGTATAACATTAAACTCTCAAATCAAAATTAAAAGTTATTAAATTTATTGCATGGCAAGAGTGTAACTTTCTATACTGCAAAATCTCAATTAATAGTAGTGGTTTCCAAGCTTTTTGAGTTGACGAAAAAGATGGCTCGGCAAAAAGAAAAAACGGATATTCGTTTTTTGTCCGTTTCTTATCAAGCTGATAAATATAATGTTTCATTTCTCAAACTTAATTAATTACGAGAGCAAAGATTTTTCGGATCTTTTAGTAGAAATTACGAATAGCAAGACGAATGTGCCACTCATAAAGAATTGTTGTGAATTCTTTATGACTATAATGAGATGGCATATCTTCATGTTTTATTTAATTTAATTAATTGCAGGATGAAATCGTTATTGTTACAAGTTTCAACACATTTATACATATCGTTGTAATTATATGACAGAGTTATTGAGAATGAATTCATTTCATCTATTCGTTATACTTTGTATAATTTCATGATTTTTCCTTCCGGAGTTCGTAGTCTAAGTTGTTCGCTAACATTTGATCGAGCACGTTGAAAGCGTTCTTTACTATCGGCAATAGCTACAGCACTAAGGCGATCATACATATCAATTTTTTTACGGATCGAAAATCGATCAGTTAATATTTGATCATTGTGCGGATCTGGTGGAGCACTAGAAGGTGATACACCTCGTGAAGTGCTACACTTCGAGATAATACTACTTCCAGATGGCCAGCTACTGAAAGTAATATAATATGATAAGAATATTTTTGTAAGTGATTATTTCAACTTTTACACTTATAGGTAGAGGATAAATTTTTGTACAGAACCATAATCATAAGATTAGTTGTTTATTTTATTGATATCAACTGATGGAATTTATTTCAAACGTTGAAATTTTTTCATTTTAAAAACAAAGTATTTGAAGTGATTAATGATGCAAGCTACAACTGCTACTAGTTTAAAAATTCAATATTTAAAGATTGTTAGATCGCACCTGTCGATGTTATTTGGCATTAGTTCCAGTGTACTAAAGCTTCCTTTTTTGCTCCATAACTGGAATACAGGACAGTTGTTATTCGAATCATCATCAATCTTATTTATTGCTTCACTGATTTGTTCCAACCGTTCTTCTATATTACGTAACAAATTGATGCCACTTTCTGAACTAATTTCAAAAATTAAGTTTCAAACATAAACACAGTTGATCTTTGACTTTGAGAAAAATTTTTTACTTTTCCAATTACTGCACGAATATTAAGCGTAGCACATTTTTCGATAGTTATATAATTACAATTCCACACCCATACATGTACTCTCATAATTTCATTTTAATTTTTTTCAAAGATTATTTGCCCTCAAATTTACCGATCCATAATTTAGACAAATTCGGAATTTAAATCATTTATGCACTGTTGAATATGATAATGTATGCAATAACGAACTAATATTTACAAATCCATATATTATAATTAGGGAGCACTAATATATATCTGTTTATAAGATTACTTGAACAGGTAGGTTTAACCATTGTAGATGATCTTTCCGGAATCCTATTTCGATAGCAACATTCTTCTTGAATTCGTTTAAACCGAATAACAATAATACTTACATTACCAACATATTCAAATGCTTGAAGTATATCCTGCAATAAAAAATGCAATAAATACAAATTAATTTCAAAAAAGAAAAAATTTCGTTTTAAGAATAAATAACAATTACTTATTATTTCATCAATATATTTCTATAACTCTTAAAAATAATACTTTTTTTACAAATTATATTGAATTGATAAAATAATGGAAAAATTGATCCTAAAAAATTTAATATTTAAAAGGAATACATTAGCTCTACTTCAAATCTCAGCTAATTATCGAATCTTTTGGATTCAATTTCATAGAACTTTGACCTTTCCGGTAAGAAAAAATTTCAATTTTCATTTGCTTTTAATTTCTAAAAGCCATTTTTAAAGTAATGGAAATATTTAAGCTTTCCATACTGCTTGCTAATTATTTTCAGGAAGCTGAAAATTTTTTCTAACTTGCAACTTTTTGGCTGCAATTTGTGGATTATGTGTAGTTCGAATATTCTCCACCGCATCTTGAGGAGTGATATATTTCCACAATGCTCGTGAACTAATTATAATAAACTCATCGGCTTCCGTAAGTTCTACTGTATCCTGAAAGCGATAAATTCTGTTTTCTTTTTAATCAAGTAATGAAATTAATTAGTGTTTGCTCAGTATCGAGAAAAAAAGTCTAATTTTCCAATATGACAAAATAATTACGAATAATTAATTCTTGAAGCTATTTGAACCTTTCATTAGTACTTTTCATGTCACCTAACTTATTAACAGAATGAAAAAAAACAATTTCCTCCATGCGTTTTTTCGAAAATTTTAGGCAAACCTGATGTGATTTCGGAAGAACAGCAGGATAAAGAAACGAAAATCCAAGTGAACTTGCTGATAAACATATTCCATCAATCAAATTGTCCTGAAATGAAAACGGATTTTTACTCCTGAAATATTTTAATTCATGAGAAATCTTCTAAATATTTCAATTCATCAGGAAAAAACAAAAATAGAAGTCATTAAGCGCATAGAATCAATTCATATATTTGTTGATGGTTTCTTTTCGTTTATATGATGGAAATATTTCGAGAACCTGGTTAAGCGTTGCATTACCAGTACGTAGCTGAATATAATCTTCAGATGTTACGGTAATCGCTTGACTGGGTAACTGCAAGGCATTCCCGGAACGACATAACACTGCTCGAATACTTCCAACTGTTGCAAAAAATAATCGATGTTGTTCAATTTTAACAAGCATTGCTGCCGCACCAAGTCGTTCACCAATTTGGCCGAGGTGTTCGTGTGCATAAATTAAAGCCATTTTCAAGGTATAGGCATTAATTAAAGCCTGAAACAAAGTACAGACAGAATTCGAATTATCGGCAATGACAGAAAATATCATATCATTGTACTGATATGAGAGGAATAGAATGCTCGAACAATATTATACGCTAATTTCAGAGAATAATTGAATTACTCTCTAATCAATGTTTTATCTCTCTTATAATTCACATATTAACATTTAGGTATTTTATGAAAAAAAGATGTATCGACAGAATAATTCATTTATACAATTTAATTACCTGTTTTTGAAGAAATTCATTTAATTTTTCGATTACAATTCGTGCAATCTGATCATTATTTCCACCATCAATAATACCGAAAATTGCTTTCATATTTGAATTTGATCGAAGTTGTCGTACACATAGTCTAGAAATATATTCTAATAATATTAGTCAACTCATTCACCTACCCATCAATACCGAATTTGGTTTACCGAATTTCCTGATGCCATATAAACTCTACTATTACTGATTTCAATTAGCTGATTAATTTTTGGACTTATTTCAAATTTTTTTGCGATATGCTGATTTGTGGTATTTTTGAAACTAATTTGTATTACCTAATTATAATCAAATGCTGAAATCGAAGTAATTGAAAGTAATCGAAGTGATGGAAAGTATGCAATTCAACACAGCTCAATACGTTTAAAACTGTTTACATTAATAAATCAAGATTAGATTAACACTTAGACACACAGACAGACACAAACACACATACACACACACACACATACATACACACATGTAAACATCATTTTCTCATGAATTCTGTGGACCAGAAGTAATTAGAAGAAGCAAGGATGAGAATGAAATTTCTGATCAAAAATAGTCCATTTGTCCATTTTATCTTCTGAAGATAACTTTTTTCTTATCGAAAAAATGCTAAAATATGGACAGAAAATGACCCACTTGTTTCGTTGTCCAGCTGATTCACTGAAGCCAACGTGAAATGTGTTACAGTTGCATTCACTACCAACGTTCACTACCGATACTGCTTGACCTTCTCTGCAATAATAATAACATCAACTGTAATGAAAAATTCAGAATTGCAGAATCGTTCTAACTCTATTCTTTATTGGCATTAGTAAATTAAAGATTTTGAATAGTTTTTTGGGGTGCAAAGGAGAAACAAAGTTTTTAAAAAAGTCGGGCTAATGTCTTATTATAATATAAATTATCTCAAGTGGCATCCCAAAATTAAGTATTGTCGAATCCGATCAGAGAGTATCTGATTTCTATTCGTTATCATTCTATTCATATCATTCTATTTCTATTCATTCTATTCATTTCACTTACTTTTTTGGCTTAATATTATCGGTATCAATTTGTAACATGTAATTACAGGTGAGATCAAGATGTTTTAAGGTTTTTGCCATACATAAATTGGTATCCAAATCTCTAAATTCGTTGTTTGAAATGTCCAGCAACTGTAAAAGAATAAGTCGTCAGTTGCTGTTAAAAGAGACTGTGAAAACAATTAAATAATTAAAAAAAATATTTTCACATGTTGTGAATCTCAGACATTTTAAAATTAACTTGACTATACATAGAAAAGTACACCGACTATGACCGTATCATCAAGATAATTACTGCACTAAGTAACCGGAATTGGCGTTAATTTAGAAGTGAAATAAATTATTTATAAAATAATTGTTAATAAACCGAGAACGAACATGCAGTTGCGGTGATTGCGAGAAATCCGGAATTGCTGTGATATCATTCGAATGTATTCGGAGAACTTGTAAATTAGGTAATTGTGTAAATGAAGTTGCAACGGAAGTGAGATGATTGGCCGATAAATTTACTTCTTCTAATGCTACCAAACGGCTCAAACAACTTCAAAAACGAAGAAAATAATTTTTATAAATTCTTAAGCAAAAATTTATGAAATGAACAAAAATTGACTGTTTAACATAAAAAAGTAGTAACTATGGGGTTTGTTATATGAATTTAAGTGAGCGGTCGAAGAGAGAAAAGTTCACTTCTACACTGATACCAAATAGAAAGAATAAGAAATGAACATTAGTATCATTCCTATTTCAATGATTTCCATCTATTAAGGAAGGTTATCTTTACTTTTTTAATATCAGCTATAGTCAATTGTCAAATACTTTTCATATTGTTATTACAGTTAAAATTATGATATAACTTTTTTTTGATAGTATTATTTTTGCAAAGAAACTGAGCAATGCATAGTAATGTTTCAGGTGTAAATATTTGAAGTTATAAGTTAAAACTAATCCAGTCACTGAAATATTTACAAAAAAAGAACCTGTCATCAAAAAATTTAAGGTGATTATAAGAAAGATCTAAGAAGCGTAGACGTCGACATGATACCACAACACTAATGACACTTTCATCCAGAAAATTTTGAGCTGCTCGAAGAAATTGAAGCCTATTCAGGTCAAGCATTGTGTTTGCAGTTGGAAGCCTTTTAAGTTGATTACATGAAACATTCAGATTTTTGAGCCTAAAACGAGAATGATACAATGGTTCGAAACAAATTATAAGAAAGATCTAAGAGTTGAAGATGTAGTAGGCATGATATCACAATACTAACTACACTCTCATCCTGCAGATTTGCTCAATTATCCATAAAATAACTACAATTTCTTCTTTTCAATGAATCGTTTCTTACATTTCAAGCGCACGCATTTTGATACAAAAAATATTTCCAATTCAGAAAGATTTCAGAAAGATATACTTCAAGAAGAACAGATTCAAAAAGACTTACTTATTCGCTGCTTTTAATAGTTCATTCGGTAATGCATTGATGCGGTTATTATGCAACGATAAAACTTCCAACGAACAATTTTCGATAACATCTGGTAGATGCTCAATTTTATTATTGTTTGCATACAGATTTTTTAATTTGCTTACGTTCATGAAAATCCTAAAAAATAGCTGAAATATTTTGAATTAAATGAGACTGAAGTTTTTGTTTAAATTAGACTCTTTAAACAAACACTCCTCTTTTTCATTTCCATACTTTTCAAAATTTTCGGAAACAACAAGTTTAACCTGTGCGGTAAGTATAGGATAAGGTTATGATGGACAGAAATTGTTTCAATATGTTGCAAATCTGTCAGCCATTCCGGTAATGAAGTAAAACGGTTGAATGAGATCGAAAATATCACTAGATGAATTGGCACAGGCATTATTATTGCTTGTGATAATTCTAAAATATCATTGCAATATTGGTAATTTAACAACTGCTATAAAAACGTGAATACAAAATATGGAGGTAAATACTATAAATTATGGCGTAACGTAGATAACCCAGATCACACGTCCATTGAAGAGTTGAATAAAAAGCTGAACATTTTTCTACTTATTTTGTTTTTTATTTCCATAGCATAAAATACAAAATTTGAATACAGTGATAAAATTTACACTTTTCTGAACCCTTGCAATTTGAGCGAAAATATGTTGGCAAAAAACTGGGTGATAATACCGTAAAATTTAATGGCAGTAAACTTAAAGGTAAAACAAAAGTTAAATATTCTTAAATTTAATTAGTATTTTGAGCTTTGGGATTTTTGTCTTTGCTAAAAATACCACAGTGTAATTTATTATTTTTTATTTTATAAGCTTACTTATCTATATTGTTTATCCTAAACGATAAGTTGCTTCAAAAAATAGAAACATCAAAGTTGGGAGATGATTGGTGATCTTAAAAATGTATTGAAATATTTCTTACTATTAGTTACAGATCAAATCCCAAGCTGATAAAAATGATAATAAATGATAACTTTACCATTATTATCAGCATAGAGATATTTGAGGTTGGTACCATTCACTTGAAGATTTGTTAGATGAAGCCTTTCACAGTGTACTATCTAAAATAAAATGAAATAAAGCGAAGTCAGATCATTTGAATACAGTGATAAAATTTACACTTTTATGAACCTTTGCATCTTGCAATAGAATAATATATTTTATGATATAATGATAGGGCGAAAAATCGACGAAGAATTTTTTGACCAATCAGTAGATCTATTCTAACTAAAATAATGAATTAAACTAATTCTTTTAACTTTAACTAATTTGGTTGAAGAAATATAAAGAAAACACACAATGGCTTTGTTTAGTGAAAAGTTGTAGTACAAACGGGGTATAATCTTTTTTCAATTATATATTTTTTCAGTGCTTAACATATTATCAATTAAAATATATTTATTCTGGCAAATGGAAATTCACTCATAGACGTTAGATCCGAGTACTTCAATTTCAGTCATTAAGCATTTTCTGGTAAAAATAAGTGTATAGAATAGTATATGTAAGTAAATACCTGTATAGTATGTAAATTACTTAAATCCAATTCCAATAAATTTACATTATCACGAATATCCAATTCTGTCAGTGCAAAACAAATAAATGAAGTCAAACGTACCGTACTAAAAATATGAATGTTTTATTTAAATTAAAATCTTCAATTAAGATTCAAAGATAAGCTTAGAAGAATGAATTTATTGCTTTGTCTTAAAATATATCTCTATTGCTTTTATCAATTACGGCATCGTATAGCTTAGTCATTAAGGGATAATTACGCCCACTCAATTTTTAACCTCATATAGTTCTTCTTCAGCAAAATCAGTGGATGAATGAATGAAGAAGTTGTGAATTGCTATAAAAAATTTTAAATTTGGATTTAATTACAGCAACTGAAGATTTAAAAATTTTTTAATCTTGAAAAATTAAAATTTTTGGAACGAATTGAATCGTGCAGGAATGGGAAATCACCGATGAAATCAAGTGTTTATTCTTTTTGAATCTATCGATGTAAAGCTTCCAATCTAACCCTGTCAATGCATTTCGACGTAAATCAATTTTCGGTGCATGAATGCAAGGGAGAAAATGCAACGCTGAAACTTCAATATTGTTACCGGCCATTTCAAGATGTTGGATTCGTTTCAATGTGAACAGAATATCCGGAATCTGAAAACTTTTAAATCCTAAATGTAGACTTGTTGAATATTGAACTTCGAAAATCGATTGTATTTTTTTGAAATCTAGTCTTGCAAATTTTTTTCATCCTGAAAAATTCCGGATCATAGAGAAAAAGTTCGACATTTCATTTTCATTTATTTCAAACTTGGGATATAGCATTAACTAGCAAAAACACTTCAGGAAAAATAAGAATACATACCTGATTAAAACGATTGAAACTTAAATCCAATTTCGATAACATCACACACTGTGAAAGCTCTTCCGGTACTGTTTGCAACCAATTATTGCTAACATTTAGTACTGTTAAACTGAAAATGAAGTCACGTCACGTTACAAAATGAAGTCATGAAGTCACGTCAAGTCATGAAAATGAAGTCACGTCACGTGAAGTCACGTTACGCTTCATTTCATGAAACCATGTTTTGCTGAATATTCACACGCTTACCCTAACTACAATACTGCATAGAGATCTAAATTCTATTTAGCAATGGTACACTGTAAGTTGTAGTACTCATAATAATCTACTCGTCTGTCAACTTACTTGATTAATTCAGCAATTTGTGCTGGAATGTAAGACATACGATTTCCGGAAAGTATAAGTTCGGTAAGATTATTGAGGTGAGTTACTGAAATTGGAAAATGATAAAGCGAATTGTCAGCGATATTCAATGAACGCAGAGAATGTAAACGACCCACGTCATCAAGCCATCCGAGAAGTGGGTTTTGGATCTGAATTGTAAGAATAAATTAGTTAGTTTCAAAAGCTTTCCTGTAATCAATTTCCACCCATATTTTTGTGACTAATTTTTAAACAAGAAGACGTAATACTTCATTATGATAAAATTCCGATGTATAATTTCATGTGATCGGACTTTGGATCTGTTTGATGAAAGTGTCTAAAAACTTGATACTTCATGGTATCTATATGCTAGCATCTAGCGATAAAAACTTTCAACTTCAGATTGCTAAAAAAGTAGCAGAAGGACTGTCAATATATACCAACAACTCACCCCCGGTAGTCATTATTATGTGCAGCGGTAAATACCGAATAAAATGAAAAGCGGGGAAGAGGTGAGAAATAGCGTTTTTTTTATGATTGCTGAGATAATTATAACTTTGTAATAAAATATTATTTTTGATTTTCTATTTTGAAATTTGTATTTCATATCCAATTGATGTAAATTTATTTTTAATAAAATATTGGTTAAAACTTTTTATTTTTCGATTTCTAAACTGTATGCGATGAAAAAACCATTTCCCATCTCACAAATAGAAAGACTTCTAATTAGCCGGAAATAATACCATTAAATTTTCCATTGGCCATAAACTTCAGCATTGAAATTTCTTAACAATCATTTCTTCAGGAAGGAATAAAATGTGCTATATTTCCGGTTCATATACAATTCAGATAGTTTCTCATCCATTAACACTTTAAATTCACCTGATTACTTGGACGAAATTGTAATGAATTCCTGCGCAAATTTAATGTAACAATTTGACGAATAACGCCAACCGAGAATAGTTCATCAGGTAGCAACAATAAACGATGATCACTTAAATCACAGTTTGGTGCCATTTGAGTCTAAAACGAAAGATTAATTAAGCGTAAATAAATGTGTGCATAGTGCTTAGAAATTTCTTTCATTTCTGTATGTGCAAAAATATTAATCAAATTAATAAGTAAATATGCGAAAATCGTTGGACAATCAATAACTTCCAATAAGTACAGTTAGGAAGTTAAAGCTATCAAGTAAAGTATACTTTATTAATTTCACTATAATGCCAAAATGGCTTAAAGCTAGTTAATAGAAAAAAAAGTTGTCACAAATTTAATGTCATAAAAGATTGAAGAAGAAAAATACTTGAAGTAAACGAGTAAGCCAAAGATTCATTTCACCGATTGCTTCAAAATGTAAGTTATAAACGTTTGAGGAATCTGTTAGACGAAGATACTTTCCACGACTTCCTTCCGTTACATCAACACGATACCGACTAAGTAATAAAATCTCGTCACCGTTATCTCAAAAAATTTCTGTTTAAAAAATCAATTTTTTTAATATACTCTGACCATTACATGTTTGAAATACAAAATTTAATACATCACTCTTTTTAAATAATCAATCATATTACATATAAAAAAAGATATAGTCAAATAGTGAAAAACTATAAAAGTATGTCATTGAAATAATTTATAAATTTAAAAAGTTTTTTAAAATTATAAGACAGTTTTTGAAAGTTGCAATGCGGTACAAATGTTTATGATAAATGATATAATTTGTGAAAAATGGAGTGAAGTGAAAACCATGTTCAATACGGATCGTTCCATTATAAAGCGTACAACGACGTTTAATCCATTTTTGCAACAGTCGACCTTTGCGCACGTGACACCACGCTATGAGTATTTCGTTGGATGCTTCTCCACTAGCTGCTTGCTCTGGACGACCTAAATCGATTTTGAAATTTTAAAATCCAGTCATAACTTTAATTTCATTACCAATCTAAGAAATATTTAGGGTGAAGCTCAATTAAAATTTTAATCTATTCATTCTGAGAAATCATTATATTACGCCAATATCATTAGAAACATTATTTTTTCTTTTATAAAATCTTTCACCGGGAAAGATACGCCTCGTTTTGCATTTTTCAGGAATATATATGAAATATATTTTGTTAATTAGCTCATAAAGCAATAATAATAAATAATAATAAACAATAATGATAATCATAATCATAATCGTAATAAAATAATAATCATAAAATAATAATTTACCTATAAAGAAGCAAAAAAGATGGGTTAAATGTAACGCATCACCAGCTGCCATACATTCCGCTTGTGTTTCATACCCAATATTTGACAGAATTTGATTTTGCAATTGCAGTGGATATGCTCCTGCTGTCAGATTACTATAAGTTAGAAATAATTAAAAAAACAACAAGCCTATAGCATAAATGAAATAAGTCCTATAACTTTTAGATGTCATAATTTCAGCGATACGGAATACCTGAAGGATACATTGTGAATAAATCATTTTACATAACGCAATCAGTAAATTTTAGAATAAAATGTTGGAATAAAAGTGACAAATAAACAATTTTTTAGACATGGAACTAATATTTACGATTATATGAAATATAAAAAATATGCTAAAGTTTACCTAATTTTAGAGCCACCAATTTGAAGATATAAACTTTCAAAACCCAAAATAGAACAAATATCCTGAACAGTTGTTTGAAGTGTTGCTGGATAAATCAAAGATCGTGATCCGACTGGTGCATAAAGCCTGATAAAACCATTTTCTGTACCGGATTCCAGCCATTCTTGTTTACGATGATTTGTGAGACGCTCAAATTTTGCTGCCTTTCGCTATATGTAATTAACATAACTTTTGTGTGTTTGCATAAAATTAAACTTCTAACAAACAGTATATTAAGAGTCCCGTATGAAATGTCTTGTACTAAACCAAATCAAAAAAGTTTTTCAAAATATATCAGTAGTGTAGTGTATCTGGTAATTTGAAAACGGTAAATCTTTTATTATTTCTATAGTAGTATTTCTGGCTTTTGCACTACATATTCTGGAATCTTCCCTAAAAATACCTTATCATCAGAATTATTAAAATGATTCCGCGATTAAGGATGATTCCACTACTTGCAATGACTTTAGCATCAAATCATTTTTCACCGCCAAACCGTTTTTAAAAAAATTCTAGTGCTAGTTGATTGATTCAATATCAAATGATGTTTAAAAAAATCTCTCATTTGGACTGAAAGAAAAAGAAAAAGAAAATAAAGCCAGAGAGAAGCACTAAATACGGAAAGATTGGGAAAGGCATTCTTTCCGGATTGCACAAATTGTTAAAAAGGAAACGTACTATTTTTGTTAATGTTGCATATTTTGGCATATCATCATTTAATCCCTTCTTTCGATAATTTATAGTTGAATAAGTATTTTCAGTCCCGATACTTTTAGACGGAATTTCCGGAATAGTTTTTGATGACATTGTGCGTCAAGTAATACAATATGCCCTCAGTTCCATTAATGTAACTGAAGTAAAACAATGAAAATTTCAAATTTAAATTTAGGTAACACAACAAAAAGATATTTGGTTATATTATTAAGCAATTTTCAATAATCGATTATGAAATATTCTTATCAAAACAGTGCCAAAAAGGCGGTAAATAAGTGAGCCAAGAAATTAGCCAAAACAAATGCATAATAAATTACAGTAAGTCATTTTGTCTGTGCTACTTATTTAAATAATTGAAATCATTCCTAAAGATTAATTTAAAAAATTCATGCTTAAAAATTTGTCATGAACATCTTCAATTTCATTAATTTGCATAAAATAGCAACTTTGTCTGTCCCATAAACAAATTCAAAAAATGATGACATATTGCTGGATTATTAGAGAAATAGCAGTAGGATTAATGCAAAAGTATATTAAAGTGACATAATAATTGACTTAGTAATGGATAATACTTGGAGTGGCAATTACCGCAAAATGCGATACTATCCAAAGGTCGGAACAACGTTGAAGGAGTAATAAAGAAGGGGAGAGGAAGGGGGATATAGGAGAAATTGTCACAGAGTGCATGAAGTTGAAGTGAAAAAAGATTGCAGCAACTTCCTGTAATTATTATGCGATAATGATGGTTGCGACGGTTGCACTGATCGATGATGATATTTATTCAGCAAATAATTATAATCATTGAAAACCTGATCCGATCTAGTGGATATCTTATTATCATTTAGATGCTGTAACGGTTTAGTGAATTCCTTTTAATCAAACAACAGCCAACAACACTTTAAAGTTTATGATAGCTAAGCTATGAAAAGAATTTTTTAGCTATATCGAAAAATTAGTGATTACCAAAGATGAGGCAATCAAAATTATTAAAATTGAAAATTTATCTAACAGATAGCATAAATTGAATAAATTAGGCATTGTTAGCATAAATATCATTTAGTACTTTCTAGAGGTTACTCGACAAAATAGCATAATTAAACTTTATTCATTTTTCCTACTTTCTTTATGAGTACAATTTTTAAAAGGAGCAAAATATTTTATAACTCTAATATATGTTAAATAAATGTCCCACTTAATATTTTATAGAATTAAAAGTTTAATATTTTCAAAACTAGCACAATTTTTCATTTTACTGTTGTTGTTATTGTCTGGTTCTTCACATTTCACTATTTCTAGACTGTCATGATAATTTACCGTTAATAACAATAGTATTTTTCCTTTAATTGGACAGTGGTCATTGATTTCTTGGTCGAAGTGCTAATTATAATTGTATGAATCCAATTTGTCATTCTTTCGTTTCAAATCAAACTCCAACTCCAATTCATATCATTTGAATAAATTGAATATGAAAGAGATAATTGCCAATACACTTAAGAAATTTCCCTTTATACACTCATCTATCATTTATTTATTCATTTCCAAAATTCAAAAGATACTATTATCATATATGTATGTGTAATCATATACATAAGTTTTTAAATTAATTAAAATTAATTCATCTCCAAATTATTACATTTAATTTTAATCAAATCAAAATTGTATTCGATTTAAATGTTATTTAAAATTTCAATACTGTAAAAAGGAATTCTATTACAAATTATCTCTAGCAAAAGTAATAAATATTGTATAGTAATATAAAATATAGTTAAATAGTTTGGAAGAAAATATCATAAATAATATTACTTACTTTTTGTGACAGTTCATGAGTAATTTATTAAAATTATCATTTTTATATGTAAAAAATTTTCTTTAAAGTAATTAATTATTCGACTGGAATGTTTGCCGAATAATTCGATTTATCTGAAAGAACAAATTTTGTCACTTAGAAATTTCCTTCCCTTCCGTACTAATTCAATAATTGTTTTTTCGAAAATTGCTTGGCATATGCCAAGTTTATTCTATTTGATGAAATTTAAGAAATTGGAGTGCTTTGTGTTTTTTTTCTCATTTTATAGGAAGCCAATAAGAAAAGTTGCCAGCTGCTCATTTCCGGTTCTTTTCTTATTTCCACCCCATACATTCATTTCCTATTGTTCATCTACCCATAATGAAATTGGAAGAATAAGCAATTATGAAGAAATAAAATTTTCAATTTAGAAATTTCAAAAACTTATTACATTTTTATGCGACATAATTGTTTAGTCTGACTTTGTTGCAAAAAAATCAGTTATAAAAGGAAGTAAGCATATGGAATAAATTATTGTTTATTTATATCAAATCATGTCAAGAAGTATAAGCGGCAGAAATAGTACATCAAGTACTGATGGAACAACACAATAATACGTCGGAGACGTTGTAGGCTCACTTCTTGGACAATCACTCCATTTCCATTATTGGCGCTCTAAAAACGAACATGAAACGTATCCGATAGATACCTATTCTCAGAATCATCAGAACATTAAACAGATCTTTTACGCTTAAAAGATATTTACATTTCTTAGTGGTTTTTTTAAGCATTTTAATCATCTCAGGAAATTGTCCGAAACTTTGGTTATTGTTTAAATTATTATTAATAAAAAATTATTCTTCATCTCTCTGATACTGTCACTTAAGCATAACAGGCGAACCTTTTTTTGGAAATAAAATATTCAAAAATAAATATTTTTGCAATTTGTATTCTTAAAGAAATTGTTGTTTTCATTGGTTAAAATTTGAAATATTTGTTGATTTGTAAGATAGTTGCAAGAATTGGTTTGTCATAATATTGGGAACAAAAAAATTTCCACTAACAAATTGCTACAACTTTCCATAAAATTTGAAAACGTTTAAAAAGTTATAAAATAACACATTAGATAACGCTATCATTCCATTTAACAGCGATAATTTTCAGAACAAGTGATAAGAAATCATAACAATCATTGGGCACATCAATATTATCATAAAATAATGTTGAAATACAATTACCTAGTAATATTGCAAAACAAGCTACCGAAACTACTGGTACTATCCTGAAATCCGAATATCTTGCAAGGAAAACTTGCCGTTTTCATCGTTCGGTCAATTATTTCATTTTCTGTGATAATAGCAAATTCTATTTTTATAAAAATGGAAGAGTTGCTAAAGATCCGGAAATGTAAGAAGGATTCATCAATGTTTCACAATTCAAAATGAAGTTATCAAAATATATTTTGCTCTTTTTCTCACTTTTGAGATATTTACTTAGCAAAGTATAGTTGTTTAATTCAGAAAAAGTGAAATGAAATTTTCAGTATGATTTTCCTCGATATTTACTTTTTAAGAAAAATCTTTTAAATTACTGAATTCAACGATTATTTTGAAATGAATTTAAAATTGTAGGCAAGTAAATGATCATCATCTTTCCTTCAATTAGCGCAATTCATGTGAAAGGAAGAAAGAAGAAAGAAAATCTACGGTTTCAATTTCAAGCAATAAATATGAAAACTTTCCCAGAGGGTACAGCTAGCATTTTCTCTCCGATAATAATTTATAATATTTTTCTTAAGAATCAGCGATGTTTAAAACAAAAGCTGGAAGAAAATCTCATAAAAGCCATTGTGAACATCGATTTTCAATAGCTCAAAATTATTAAAAGAATAGTTAATTAACGCTATGATTAGAGCAAAGAATTTTCCACGATTAATTTTCAATCAATTTAATTACTACGATTCTTAAAAGCAACGAATATATTCTATATTATAAATGAAATTCAATATAAATTAGTTGACATATATAGGAATTGAACTGTATGAAATACCATTGATGACAACTTTCTCCTTTAACATAATCCGAAATTAATTCATTGATACCCATAATTTTCTAACATCGTAAAAAATCTTTCTAATTTTCTATCTCATAAGTTTCTTCTCATTCTATTTGACCTATAAGAATTCACTCAGTTAGTTACTGTCCTCTGGTCGATGGAATTTGTCAAACGAATGGCTCAAATTGGCAATGGTAGCGAAATGTAATTAATTCTTCCGAATCCTAAACTTTTACATAAAAATCTGAAATTACAAAGGTGATGATAGGACAAAAAAAAAGATAAGCGAATAATTTTCCATGAAAAACTTCAGGTAAATAACTATTACAATTATCAAAGATTCTAATTTTTCTTAAATTTCTTTATTATACATAAATATACATTTAATTATATGTCAATTTAGTAATGAAATGCATTTAATAAATTAAAAAAAGATTAACAAAAAGTTAAAAGCAATGGCTATTATCATTTCAGTGTACAATTAATTTAATCCTTTGTTTTTCTTTGTGTTTTTATTAATTTGATTGTTTTGAATTGATTTTACTTTTGTAATACCTTTTCTTCTGCGAAATAGTGATACAGCTGCACAACGATATGGCTCAAGTGCAAGGATCGTACTGGTAATAATTATAATTGTTCGCAACTGAAATTAAATTACACTAAAATATTTCATT